TTACACTGTGACAGGTTCCAGTCAGCGATGATCGATGATGGGATAATATGGCTGGTCTTGTATGTGTATTATTCGAGGGCGGTATATATGGATCAGTTATTTTGTACAATATAAAGAGAAGCATTATATTGCTTTCACCGCTGAGGGCTTCGTCATTTAAGCATTCTTACTCCTACTTACACCTCGATTGCCGGTTGGCTTATATTTTCTTGTGTGTAATGTGGTCATACTCAGTCAAACAATAGAAGGTATAGATCTGATTCACATTCTTATTTTGTCACATCTATCATTAAATCGTTCGATTAATATCATTGTATACGCCATTTGAAGATACATTTTGTCGTAGGTCGAACATTCTCATGTCATCACTAATATAATAGGCTACTTCTCCAGTATTATAGCAGAAAGTTTTTTGGGAATTTTGATTGATTGTGTGATAAAAGTGATCTGAAATGCCGGGCTTGGGAGTCACAAACAAACCTGAATTCATTAGATAATGGATAATGATATTATGTTATTATAACACATTTAATAAAGATTGGAAATTATTTTACAAAGCATTTTTGTTGAAAGCATAGATAAACATTAGGTTAGGTGGATCGACATAAAACAATTTCTTCTAAGGAAGAATAGGAATGGAAGTTTATGCTTTGTAGTTCACTAGTAAATACAATAATAAGCAGTGAATACGATATTGTCCAAGTGTTCCGTCATTTATCAAGTAATTGCGGTTTCACAGAGTAATATACCTTAGCTAAAATGGCCGCCGGGATCTCGTTGAGTGCGGGAGCACTATTTTGGGGTTCTCAAATAGTTCTATTATTTTCTCATTACTTGAAGAAACATTTATTTAACTTAAAATCAACAGTACAGAATCATAATAAATCGTTTTAGAGTGACGTGTAAGTGGGACGACAGTGTCGTTCAAATCGAAACTTGGTCCGATGGTCATGTCGAACTATAAAATCGATCGATAACGTAATCTGCATTGATGGACGGTTACAGATCATAAAATATATCAATGATTGGCACGGCCTTTGTGTCACCAATTTACGTCACAGAAGCGCTACACCACGAGAGGGCGCAGTTTGCAGGAAATGTGTATTCATAGGACTTTTAACATTTCATACAATGAATGTTGCATCGTTGTGTCAGTGACTTTCAATAAACAACTTCCATTTCATTAAAGTATGCTTTAAAACATGTGTATTTTGCATCTCTCTCTTTTAATGACTATATATACTATAAATAAACAAACTGATTTGATTAAACACTGGAAACACAGGCTCAGATTTCTAATGATAATAATTCTGATATACAACACTGATGGCACGTATATTAAGATTTGACAGGGATACAATGCTTAATATTTCCGTAGATGCAGTGCCATATCAAGACTATATAAATAATAGTTTCGACATATCATGTTGTTGATTTTTTTTTCCGATGGCTCGAATTGCTCTCTCATGTTGGTCGCAATATTTCATTCTACAGCTATGCATTGAAGTGTGTTCCATACTATTTAATGCATGACGTCATTTTCTCCTATTGGTGAAAGTTTGTACACGCTCAGGTTTAGTTGAAGATGAGTTTTTTCCAGATTCTTGTAGAATGACCATGCTGTGCGAGATGTGATATTTGTCAGCTGTCTACTAATATACTGTACGGCCATCAAGACAGGTCATGAAATATCTAATCTATGTATATGTGTAATCTCACAAACCAGAGTTCAGTGACCTTAGACTCAAATGGCTGTCGAGATCTGGTTGGAAGCGTTCCGTTTTCTTCTGTCAACGCATCTTCATCTCTCCAGATCAATACGAGCATAACATTTGAATCTATGCACGTTATGACCAGATATAATGTAACATGATATTTCAGATAGGAAAGCAAGTGTCATGGCTTTCTCGCTCCAGACGAGATCTCGACGGTGATCGCAACAGCGTTTAAGGTTTATTACCACCAAAATTACCAAATAAACTGGACCATCAGTAGCTATTTATCTGTTTCAAGCCGTCAAAACCACATTTGCTAGATTTCAATCTACACCTATGCAATCTTCACCAACACCTGGTCCGATTACACATCACCCATATGAACCCATATGAACCCATCTGCGCTATCACCTTGTCACTTTTACCCAAATCACTGGCTATCTGCTATTAATCAATTATGTTCATCTGAACTGCTTGACTCAAATCCATCACGGCCCTCATGGCCATCTTGCCAAAATCCGCCTGGACCACCTTGCCCAGATCCGTCTGGAACACCTTCCCCAGTTGCGCCTGGAACACCTTGTCCTAATCCGTCTGGACCACCTTGCTCGAATCCGCCTAAATGACTCTGTCCAAATCCACCCTGGTCAAATCTGCCTTGTCCAGATTCACTTGGAACACCTGGCCCAAATCCGCTTGGACCTCCTTGCCCAAATCCGTATGGACCTCCTTGCCCAAATCCGCTCGGACCTCCTTGCCCAAATCTGCTTGGACCTTCTTGCCCAAATCCGCTTGGACCTCCTTGCCCAAATCTACTTGGACCTCCTCGCCCAAATCCGCTTGGACCTCCTTGTCCAAATCTGCTTGGTCCTCCTTGTCCAAATTCGCTTGGACCTTCTTGCCCAAATCTGCTTGGTCCTCCTCGCCCAAATCCGCTTGGACCTTCTTGCCCAAATCCACTTGGTCCTCCTTGCCCAAATCCGCTTAAACCTTCTTGCCCAAATCTGCTTGGTCCTCCTTGTCCAAATTCGCTTGGATCTTCTTGCCTAAATCTGCTTGGACCTCCTTGTCCAAATACACTTGGACCTCCTTGCCTAAATCCGCTTGCACCTCCTTGTCCAAATCCGCTTGCACCTCCTTGCCCAAATCCGCTTGGACCTCCTTGCCCAAATCCGCTTGAACCTCCTTGTCCAAATCCACTTGGACCTCCTTGCCTAAATCCGCTTGGACCTCCTTGTCCAAATCCGCTTGGACCTCCTTGCCCGAATCTGCTAGGACCACCTTGCCACAATCTGCTTAGACCAAATCTGCCTGGTCCATCTTGCCCAAATCCATCTAGACCACCTTGACCAGATCCATCTGGACCACTTTGTTTAAATACGTCTGGACCATCTGATGCACCATGTTGTGTTTGAATATCCCGTTTCCTTGTCAGTTCATTGTTAATTGCCCTGCCGTTGATTCCAGTATTCGGCATCCATATTGCCAGAATGAGCATCAATACTAACTGCGCAGTTTTCTTCATAATATGAGTCTGCAAACAAACACATAATTGTTCAATTGATATTTTACCAGCCGACAACTGTAACATGTACTTTAGTGACACCTCATGAGACTTTCTTTCAACTTAATTTGTTTTAATGCATTTCGCAAAGCCCCGTTGTCAGATAACGTAAGTGCGACGATTGAAATTCACTATGCTAATCATTTGTCTGGTAAATTGTCATGAGAGTGTTTAAGTAAACACATCAACAGATATTGGAAGTTTATTTACCGTCGCATTCACCGAACATTAACGAGTTCATAACCCCACGAATAAGTGACATCAGGGGGGATAACCTTTTTATTACCAACTCAACCAATTGTTAAAACGACAGAGTAATTTTACGCATCTATGCTTACGATTCATGTGTTGATCTACGCTCCCTAGGGGCGACGTTTTTGTTGTTATCCAAGCGGGTATTGTTCATATCTGCATACTGTTCGAACACGCAAAAACTGATGACGTTTATCGTGCATATCGTCACGTTTAGTGTGAAATATCAGATAGTGTTATTATACTATACACGTCACCGTCGTGAAAGATATTCTCCATGGTCACGTGATCAGGAACAATAGTATATGGCTTTATGACATTGCTAGTGTATTGCTATTGTATTTGATAAATGTTTAATATTACACATCTAGCGCAGAATACAATAGAATTTGCTGTTTCGTAAAAAAGCCGTATTAACTTTGACGAACTTCGATGTCATGAGTGCGTTCGCGTCGCTGCCTCGGGAGGCCAAGTAGATTGGCAATAGTCGGTCAATACTGCCGCTGCACTGTCTTTGTGCATACTTAGAGGTATCTTGGTAATAACCTTATATTATTGTATAATCTCCCGTATTTCGAACGAGTGACGTTATCATAGGGAATGTATGCTTTTAATATACACGTCATATCCGAGTCATGTGTATTCACTATTAATTGAAAAATGCATTACTACGTGTGCTTACATAGATGCAATGCACTTTCTTATAGTGTTGGTGAATCCTGAATAAATCAAAAAATGTGTCGCGAATTGACATTATTAAATTATTTAACGAAATATTGTGTGACATTGATTTCCAATGTTGGCAAGATTAATAATATTAATTAATAAGATCAATAAGTGTTCGAAACATGGCAAATATAAAACTATACATAATATAGAATTGCTCTGACCAGATTTTAATAACTCATTTGAGAACGAATACCATTTTTGTCTCGTTTGTCCCACCTTTCACGGTATATTATCGTAGATTGTTATGCTGGTAGATTTATCGAGCTCATGACTTGTACCAAATTAGTATTGGCCATAAAACGCGGAGACAATCAGCTTGGTTTTGAAATGGCGGACTAAACACAACTGTACTTCAATAGACGTAGATGGGTGCAAGCAATGTCGTGTTTGGTTTAACAGTAATTCGTCATTTAGAATATTCTAAATTCACCCATTAACGTCACGAACTCGTTTCTTCGCTACATTGCGTGATTTTTTGAAACGTATATGTTGTATGAAACATTAAAGCGTGGATCATTCGCAATCGCGCGTAGTTCTAAAACAAATTAAGACATATTGAGAGAATGGCTTCCTTTCACAACACAACTCTGTTATTATTTGTTAAATACAGCCAACACATTATTCGACCCAAGCACAAATCAAGCAGGATTAGTAAAACACGTATGGTCATGACAACTTCACAAGTAAGTGTGGCCAAACAAAGGAAAACGTAAAAATGTGCTTGATTATGGAACAAGTCTGGTCTGGTCTAACACTGTGTTAATACAAACACTACAGCGAATCAAATCATATGCCGTGCACTAATTCGACTTTCTGTTTCTAGTATCGAGGACCAACGTCAGATTGAAAATTCGCTGGTAATCAAGAACAGTTTTCTA